TTCTGTAGCGGCAGTAATTGGAAAGTAATAGGCAAGGCTTAGTTCCTGTGGTATTATGCGTGTTTGTGTGTGAAAGCATACATCTAGGTCAGTCTGCAAGGAGGGTCAGGAGATTTTCTGGTATTCTTTGGGCATCTATTAACTTTATTATTTGAATGAATTTCTTAAAAATCTAGCTCTACTCTAACTCTTTAGGTTAATGTTTTGGCATTTCTGTTTCTTCACTGCAGTAGTTTTTTGAAGTAGCAGCAACTGGCTTTAAAAGGAAATCCCCTCCCAGATTGCAATGGGTGAATCAGACAAGAACAGAGAAATCTCTGGTTGAGGCGATGGGCAAGAGATTCAGAACACTACCAGCTTTGTGGCTTTCTCTAAGCTCCCAAAACAGGATTAAAAGTCTGAGGGCTTCAAAAGTAGATGACTGGATTACAAAGATGTGCTACATATACACAATGGAATGTTACTCAACAATCAAAAAAGATAAACTCATGCCTTTTGCAGCAACATGGATGGAAGTGAAATAAGCCAGAAAGAAAAAGAAAAATATCATATGGTTTCATTCATAACAGGAACATAAAGGACCGGGGCAGGGGGGTGGAAATAATAATGATGAACAACTATATACCAGAGATACTTTATGGGGGTGGAGTGGGGAATGGGATAAAAAATGGGGTGGGGGGCTAAGTGCACTGGACCATGGTGATGGCACATGGGTGATTTGGTGATGGGAAGCCCATGGGGATTACAACTGGGGTGGAAAAAAGCACAAAATGATGTAAAAAAATTATTATAGCAAGTTTTAAAAAAGCATAACTGAGAAAAAAGTCTTAGGGCTTTAAAGAGCATGGATTGACAACCATTGCTCTGTATTGTGAAAAGATCTGTTTGGAGACTAACAGGTGTTTCCTAAAAAGGTGGCTACATTGTCCCCAAAATCTTTCCAGACCCAGAGAGGTCTTTCAGAGGATAACAGTGGGATTGTTGAAATGGAAGAGTAGAAGCCATGTTAGCTTGGAATGTGTTAAGTGTGATGTTAGAAACATCTGATGATTATTTATTCAAAGGTAGAATTAATGCAGTTGCCTATGAAGCACAGAATAAAGAATTACTAGATCTCAAGATTCCATGTAATCTTAAATACGAAAAGCTACATTCCTTTTGATATTCACTTAGTATAGTGAAAACCAGAAAATATTTAACATTAACTTGGGGGAGGGAAAAAACAATGATATATTTCCTCAAATAACTCATTTTCAGTAATAAAGTATAATGCTTGTGAAACTCTCTGAAGAAAGCCAGGAGAGATGAAATGACTGGTTTTCAAATCACAGAGACCTGAGTTCCATTACCGACTAATTTTGCCATTTCTTCTGAGCATCCTGGGTATATTTTTACCTCATTTTCCCATGCTCCAACATTCTCAATGAAAAGAGGGTGCTAAATCACATGAAAATTCAATGAACTGTGTGACAATATAAATAAAATATGAAGCTAGTATGTGACATATTGCAGTTGCTCAATAAATGTTAATTCCCTTTTCAACATTCCTTATATAGAAAGAATGATTCTTAAATTTAAATAACAAAAAATTATATACTTAAAAAATTTAAATAACCACATGGTTTTCTAGGAAAATAAAGTTATAAAATTAACTAAAAAAGTTGAAGATAGTGACAAGTGAAGAAAGTGAAAAGGGTTTAAGGATCTGTCTACCTTCGTTAAAAAGGCAACAGGAACAAATGTTTTTAAAGCTAACTCTGTTACCTTTTAAAGAATAAATAATTATAATTTCATTAAAATTGTTCCATAATATTGAAAAAGAGAAAAATAACTCTATTTTAAGGAGCTAGCATGATCTTAATATCCCCCAGTAAAGAAAAGCAAAAAATAAACCCTCTGTAGATCAAAATCACTTATGAAGATAGAGGCTAAAGTGTCTACATATTAGCAGGTAGAATCTACAGTATATAAAAATAATTGTTTCTTATGATCAAGCAAATATTCCAGGAACATAAAGATAATTTGTCTTCAGGGAATCAGCATGATTTATTGTAATAAGAAATTAAAGGGGAAAAAAATTTCCTTCAACAGTTGCTAGGACTGATACAAAACAATATTCCTAATAATAATTTTAGTAAAACAGGACTAAAGAGAAAATCAAGTTAAGCAAAGTATAAAAAGAATAATAGTTGATGTGTCTTACTATATGCTTAAAAATCTATAATTTGTGGTTTTAGCTTAGAAATAAACAGTTTAGAATGGAATAGTGAACCAATAGTAGAGCTCAGTGTTTGAGGGAATTTAATATGCGAAAAAAATGACATTCCAATTCCATGAAAGAAAAGGATGGTTCATGTACCAACCGGTGCATGAACACATGGCTATCCACCTGGAAGATAGTGAAATTGAATGTGTATGTGTATATATACACATATAAGTGAGTCTATGTAAATTTACACATATAGAAAAAGTTAAGGAAAAAATTCTATTTTAATTTCATAAATTTAAAACTGTTTCAATATCAAAAGTGACCACACCATCAGGCACAAATGTTGGGAAAAATATTCATAATGCATTGGACAATTTTCAATCTCTGTTATATAAAAGTTCTTATTGATGCCCAGTTGAAAAATATATAAATCAAAGGAATAGATAATTCATAGGCGAGCAAACCTAAATATCTAGTAAGTATATGTAGAGTGGCCTTATAGTATTAGCCATCAGCAAAAGTAACTGAAATACCTCACCCCTCTGACTCACAAGAAATAAAAAGTGTTAACATCTACTATTGGTGAGAATGCAGGAAAAATTTTAGCAATACTGCTGGAGAAAATTAGAATAGTTATAGCCTTTTGGGAAAGCCTAGTCATAGCCACTAAAATCCACAAAAGTAAAAGCACGAATGTATAAGACTCTATTTAGCAAGATGTTTGCAGGGGCAAAATAAAACTAATAAAGGGAATATCAAATGCAGGAATGAGTAAAAGGTCATTCATGTAGTAATATCAACCATTAAAAATTGTTAGATCAATATCAATTAATTTGGATAGATTGTAATGATGTATAATTGAGAGAGATAAGATGCAGTCTCAATGTATTTTGCTTATTTTCCTTTATATTTTTTATGGCATCAGTTCTCACATCCACGTCTTTAATCCATTTTGAATTAATTTTTGTGTATGGCAGGAGACAGTGGTCTAGTTTCAGTCTTTTGTTTCTAACTGTCCAGTTTTGCCAACCACATGGGCTTTCTTTTTTCTTTCCATTCCTCACTCATAAGTGTGACTATGGATCAACACTTTGTTAACCTACTATCTTCCTGCCCCTACCACCTTGTTTTACAGACCTCAACATGTGAAAGGAAAGTTTTTCTACTTTCTTGAGATATCACTTATATAGGACAAAATGCAATCAATTAACTCACTGTGATGTTTTGACAAATGTATAACTACACCATCCTAAGTTCCTGAATCTTTTTAAAGTTCCTGAATCTTTTTAAAGATTCCCCAACTTTTGGCCCAAATTAGATATGTATTTCTTTTCTAGAGCGATGACCCAAGTTTTAACTTGTGTTTTCTCAATCTTGACTAATATTAATATGCTTAGATTGTTTGAGCAAATTTAGTGGCAAACAACAAAAAACGACTCTGGCTGATTTAAGCAGAAAAGGGGATTTGTTAAGAGGATATGGGCAAATCCCGCAATTGCTGAGAGACTGGAGAACCAAGCCTGGGATTCTGTGACCAGCAACAATTCCCCAGATGCTCCCCAGCTGATGGAGAACAGCTATTTTGGTGACGAAAGTCCCAACAGCAACAGCTTGAACTTCCTAAATTGTCTATGACCCCACTACCCTTTCCGCCACTGCTCTATGAAGAATTTCTTTTGTTTCATAGAAAGTATATAAAGTATATTGGCCTTAGGAAATTGACTTCCCCTGTCAATTGGAGTGAGTGCCTCTGGGAGCATATTCCACTATGCATCCATCATATCTTAACTACAAAAAAGATCAGAAGACCAGACACTTTAAGCGTCTGATTGGAGGCTTAAACCTTTTAAAGGGAGAGTTTATTCCCCAATCATTGAAAAAGGTGAAAATTCTAGATGGCTAAAAAGAAGGCCAACATCCACAACACTGACCATTTTGTTTGTCTCTTAGATTGTATTCTGAGCTTGCAGCTTCATATCTAATGGTGACGACCTCAGGTCACATTTGATAAGCATCTCTTGGGTGAAAAGAAATCTACTAGATGCTATAAGTGGGGTCAAGAACACCAAAGAAGTTACTATTTAAGTAAATGAATATTTATTGGTCTTCGCATTTGCTCATATGTTTTCGTTTTCAGATAATTTCCCTAAAATACCTATGAATAAAATCCTTTAAAAATCCTACTAATAGGGCCCTCCCTGGTGGCGCAGCCGGTTAAAGCACAGCACTGCATGTGTTCGATTCCCGCCTGCCCCGGAGGTGACCACATGGCGTGGCAGACCTCTCCTGACCTGCTCGCTGCTCCCCTCAGCAGTGTACTTCGTTGATCTGCCTGTTCTGCTCCCCACTCTGTCTCTGGTGAAGCCTCTCACCGCCCCTGAGTCTCTGGCCTGTACCCCAGCTCTGTATGCACAAATAAATAAATCTTTAAAAAAAAATCCTATTAATAAAACCAAGCTATGTAAATTAATTGATTTGATCCCAAAATACCATATTTCAAACTATGATGGCTTTAACTAGTTAATTTCATACTTATTCACAAAGTAAAGCTTTAAGCTAAATATTTACCATTTTCACTCTTATGAAATTGCCAAAACCGCCAGTTGCCACTCATAGCTGTGATCATGTCACATTTACAAATTACGTAAGTCTAGCTACTTGGCCAGTTTTACATGTTATTCCTCACTCTTGCTTTCAATTGACAGGTCCAGGATAGAGGGGATGGCCTAACCCAGGGACAATGAAGATGCAATGTTGAAGAATAAGCTGGAGGAGAAAAGCAAAAGGCACCATGGAAAAGACCAAAACGAAGCAAGGTTAGACTTTGTTTTCTATGTCTTACTTTAAAAGGGCCCAGGATTCAATAAATGTAGATAGTAGTTTTATCCTTCCATTGTCTCAAGCAAGGTAATATGTTAACTTTGACTGTCCTCATTCTCTTACCATCATGTAACAACCATGAAGGGCACAGGTTTGGTGTTAGGAAAACAGGAACATATATAAGTATATTTCCATATATCCATATATATATATATATAAAATATATAATATAATATATAATATATATATATATATTATCCACACACTCACACATTTGATCTGAGAAGTGATCTTATTTTTCTTAACAAAATCTTTAAAACTGCTTCAGAACAACATACTCGATAAAGCCAAGACGCACATTCACCTAATAGGCAACCACACCTTCTAGAACAGACTGGAAATGTAAGAACTCTCTCTTAATCTTTATCATCTAGTATCAACCATAGAAAAGTAAGGTCTGTTGTCATCTCCAATTTATAGATGAGGAAACACAGGTTATGAAGTATCAGGAATCCCAATCTCTCTTACCAACTTCTGCCTCTTACCATTCTACCAAGCTGTTGGGACACAGTATAAAATGGGTTAAGTAATCTTAACTCAAGCTTGTGTGGGGAGTGTTGGGAATCTCAAACCATCTGGCTTTAGAAGACCGCCCTCTGTGTGTTTAAGTTCCAGGCTAAGGTCATGCACTGTTTAGGGACTATGTATACTGAAGCTGATTCCTCTAAAGAAATGTCTACAACCAGGACTTGTAGCTATAAACGATTTGGTTCACTCAAGGTGACATAATAGAGATGTAACTAAATGGAGGAGTGATTCACCTGTTACATGAGTCTTACCATCTTCATGATCAACCATGTGGTTCAAAAAGGTACATTTTCAACCAAACTTTCCCCATAGTCTGTAAGTAGTTTCCATAACACACACTTCCTTTGTGTTACCCTGTGTCTGGCAGTCTAGTGCTGTCAACACTGTGTTTTCTTTCTGCCCATAACTTCCCCAAAACTTCCACTGACAGTTCTCTTCTGTCTTGCCCAGGAGGACAGCAAGATCTGGGCAAGAATAGGAGGTCAGAGTTCAGGGGAAGTTAGGGACACTTTACTCAGGCTCCCTGAAAACAATGAAATGACAACTATAAGCTTCAGTCATTCCCCCAAACATGAGGAAGACCTTTTAAGGGCTTTCCCCTCTGGCTGATCAGTAATTATTAATCATTCAGTTTGGTCAAGAAACTTCCCCAACCATGGTTGAACATAGGTTTCTACTACAAGAGTTGTGTCAGGTAGGTGTGGTTTGGTCTTTTGGACGTGAATATAAAACCATTCCCACCAGTTTATGTTTTGTCCTTAAATCATCGATTTCTTCCCATGCAGGATCCTCTATTCCTTGCATGTGTTTGAAGAAGATGGGGACAAATGTTATTTTGATTGAACAAAACTCTTTTTTCCCTACAGGAGAGAATGAACACATACCGATGAATAATCCTTCTACACAGATTTACCAGGTAAAGACAAATCGATCATTTTCAATGCTGCCATGTGTGACAAAGATGAGTCTCCTTTATGTGCAAAATATTCTAGCACACAAAGCTGCTTGCACATCTATCACCGCACTTGTTTTCCTTGCCAACTCTTGGGTCAGAAGGTCAGACAGCACGGTTCACATTGTTCTTTTCAGAAACCTGGTTGTTGAAGAGCTCATCCAGTTTATAAAGTACAGCAGCACGACTCCAGCATCAACCCTGCTTTTCATGCTGTTGCACCATCACTATGGTCATTACACTGTGAAGTAGCCTTTCTCCACCAGAGAGAAGGATCTACTTACTTCATTTCCTTTTTTTTTTAAGATTTATTTTATTTATTTATGCATACAAGAGTTGGGATGTAGGCCAGAGCTTGGGGAAGGGGTGAGAGGACTCACCAGAGACAGAGTGGGGAGCAGAACAGGCAGATCTACTGAAATAACCTGCTGAGGGGAGCTGCAGGAGAGGTCTGCTGCTCCATGTGGGTCAGCTGGGGATAGAACTTGTCCTGGATTGGCTGCAGATAGCTTCATAGTGCTGCGCTTTAACCCCTTGTGCCACCAGGGGGCACCCCCATTTCCTATTTTAGCAGGAAGCACTGAGAATTGAAAGGGGGTTCACATTGCAAGTGTTGAAACAGGAAAAAAAATGTAAGCCCCATTTTAAGCAATGCTTTGGCTGGCTGATGGTGCTTATTTGAGTTCTGTCTTGTAACTGCAAATTTAAAGTAAACTTCTGTCCTTAAAACATCATAGAAGTATATTCTGCCATAATTTATAATGTAAAAGCAGCTTGGGTTAGGGAACTCTCTGCTCCTTTCTAGAGTCAAGGCAGTATTGCCTGGACTATGTGAGAAAGAAGAGAGAATTGACAGGTGAGGGTGTAGAGAAAGGGTGATTTCAAAGTCACTTCTCGGGCTTTATAAGCTGGTAACTAGGAAAAAGGTGATTTTTGGAAAACAGAGGAATCCAGAAGAGTATATGCTTCGAGGGAAATGTTATTTAGAATTGTTGAATTTAAGTGACAGTGAAGTGAACATAACTAGTTCCCAGAAATATCATGCAAGAATTCACTGCTGTGGACCCAATGAGGGCAAACCAGCAAGGGTTATGGCAGAAGTTTTAATCATGCCACTTCTAGACCCAGGCCAGCAATGGGGTTTGGGGGGTGGGTAGAGGAAACAGCCTCATTTCAATTTCTATGTGTGTTTTTGGAGCAGTTACTATGTGCAAAGTCTACTGCAGGACCTCATGTGAGATGAAACAGATATTCTCATTGATTTTTAAGTGCCCATAACCTGTCCATATACAGTAAATAGTTCATACGAGGCATACAGCTGGAAGGATTACAGAGGCATTTATAAATTCTGTGGCATATGCAGGAGGATGAGTTAAAATTGAGCAGTGTAAACAATTCGTTTACGGGCAAATAAGCATTTGGTAAGTGGATATAGGGGAGGACCCACACCTGCCACCTAGGCACAGATGCCAGCTTGACAGAGGCCTGGAAGTGGAGTAAGTTCACTCAGTGTTGATTTGATGTCTCACTTGCCCAAGAAGCTCAAATGCCATCCAGCCCACAATTCCTCTGTTCACATTTGGCCTGTGTATGGTATTTGAATGAGTGTATCTCTTTAAACTCAGGTATGATTTAAAGTCTATTATAGATGCTATTTAGGTCATTCCCCGAATGTTAGCTAAATATAGTTGCATTGGGGGCGGCCTCATTCTCTTACTGTATCACAAATCCAAGTACATCTTTTCACAGTGGATAAAATGAAGCATCGAAAGTCAAGTTGGTCTATATGACCTCTGTGATGCTGTGATTATATCCTCATCATTGTGTTATAGCAGAACATCCTTAGTCCTAAATTGTTTACTCCAAGCAACATTTAACCAAGAGAAGACAAAGAAGGACAATAAAGAAGAAAAGGAAGAGGAAGGAAGGAGGAAAGCAGGGAGAGGCTAACCTTTACTAACAAGGGAGAGTGAAATACAAAAATTGAAGCAAAACATGACATTTCTGCTATTCTCTATCTTTTCAGATTCTCAGATAGACTCCTGTCCCTACCTGACATGATATTAACTTGTTTATTTAATTTTTTTTATTGTCTGTCTCCTTCTCTAGAATGTAAGCTCTAAGAGCAGGGTTTTAGTCCTTTGCACTCTCTGTTGTATTCTCAGCACAAAGTACAATACCTGGAATCTAATATATGTGCAATAAATATTAGCTGGATGAATGAATCAATGGCATCTCTGCAAGGTGTGTACATTGCTTTTAGTCAAGAGGTCGAATGCAGTCATTCAGTCTGGTATCCAGTGGTGCTTGGAAAACTATTTAGTTCATTGGGGGAAAAAAGTAGAAACCCACACTTCCTACCCTAATCAAAATAAACGCCAAGGTGGCTTAAGAGGTTAAATATGAAAAGTCAAATCATGGAAGTAGAATAAGAGAATATTTCTTTTGTCTCTGTATGTAAAATACTTTCTTAAGTTAAAAAAAAAACAGGAAGAAATCACAAAGAAAAGCCTGGAGAGTTTATCTATATCATAATTTTAAAATTTCTTAATATAAAAATATTCCAATAAGCTCTGAGGCAAATGGCAAAGGCAGAAAAGTTATACATAAAATATTACAAAAATTTACTGCTAAATTATAAATAACTGAAAGAAATCAGTAAAAAAGAAAATACCTGGGACCTTCATAGTATAGGCATATATGATGAACAAACAATTCTCCAAAGTAAAATTGTAAGTGGAAATAAAGGAAACAATTATTAAAATAAAGGGTAATTTTTTTACTATCAAATTAGTAAATAATAATATAATTAGTAATATTTAATTCTGATGAACGTATATAATTGGTGGAAACTTTTAAGAAAATTATTAAATTTTTAAGTAAAAATGCAGTAAAATATTCACATCCCTCATGGTGGGTTCATCGGCTTGACCTATTTGGTAAAAGTATCATACAGTCCCAAATCAGGCCACAGGATCTAACAGGAGAGTGAGAGCTGGCAGCACCCAGTTAACTCCAGGAAAAATTACTGTGAGAACAAGTGAGTAAGTGTGGATACATTGACTACTCTTTAGCTCAGTATATTGCCTTTTATTTAAACCTAAGAGTCTTTCCTTTTCTCTCCTTTGTCCACTGTATATTGATAGCCCCTAGCAAAGTCCACCCAATCTCTTTACCAAAGTCATATTGTGTTGCCCACCCTCTGATTATTTCATTTTGCATGTGAGTTTTAAATTATAATTCTATTGATATGAGGAGGAGGGGTCCCACAATTAAGGCAACAGATACAGTAACTGTGACAATTTAATTTTAATGACTTGTACTCTACTGTGCTTTTACTACTTAGGAATATAAATACTGAAGCTACCTCCATTTATATTATTTACATTCCATATATCTTGTCTAATACCCATTATTCTATATACATTAACTAAGGGCTTTATACATCAGACTGTATATTTCCAACGATGTACAACTATATTATTTTAACTTTTCAAACCCTCTTGTCCAAGTATTTTGCATACTTATGAATTGACTATATTATCTCTGTCCAATAAATAGATTTCCACTTAGATTAAATATTACCTAGTACCCTGTGGTTCAGAATAATTTGATGTTTAAGAATTTATTCTAAGGAACTAATCTGAAATACATACAAAACTTTAAATAAAAACATTACATAATAGCCTATATTTTACAATTCATTATTTATATTGTTAAACAATTACAAATAACAAGAATTTCCAACAAAGTAAGTGGGTAGGTAAACTAGCACATACACAGAATGGAATATTATGTAATCATTAAAAATAGACACTTAGAAAGAATGTTGAAGGCTATCAGAAAAGGCTTATTGGAATATTAGGCAAAAGGGAAGGAGTAATAGAATTAAAATGTAGTGGTAATATGATTTGAATCATATAAATATTTCTATTTGTATGCAGAGAACAAAATAGAAGGAAATATGCAAAGACATTAAGGACTTATATTAATGAACTTTGAGGTGATTATTTTCTTTATTTTTCTGTGTCATTAAACTGATTTAAGAAAATGACAGGTATGCCTCTCTCATTTTCAAATGAGTCCTCTCATTTCAAAGGACCTCTACTTCAGAAACTATGGGAACCAGTCCTACAGCAATAGCTTTCACCATCCAAACTGTCATGGAAAGTTTTCTAAGATGTTTACATTCTTTTTGAGCCTCAGTCTATTTTACCACTGAGGAATGTTGTGACATCAGAGGCCTGTTTGATGAGGGCTGTTTCTCTATGAGTCCTGTTTCTTCCTAAGGTAAATTTGCTTCAGTGATACCATGTGAGAGGAACTTTAAGGTGGAATATCAGCAGAGTTAGGAAGAGAGTACTTGGGCAATTTATTCTTGGCTGTTCAAGTAGATGAATTTGCAGTTTCTCAAAGCAAGTGTCCAGTCCCCTAAATTGCTTCCTAGTCGACATCTGACCTTGAGAAGAAGCCAGAAAGGAAGGAAAGGTCTGTAAAAAAAAAAAAAAAGTTGGAACCACCTGCATGAGCTATGAAAATTTCATTTGAGAGCTCTTTTGTGGAAAACAGTTAGAAGACACTGATTGAAATTCATCTTAAGAAGAGTTATGGAGTCAAGAAAGTGTAGAAAATTGAGAAACGGAAATTCAGAGCAGGAACCAGGAAGCATTCGGGCCCCTCTCCCCTGTTTCTTCGAGCCTAAGCTGCCCTCTGTGGTGCCCTAGGCGTCCAAGAGCAAGGCCTCCCTGAACCTGCCTCCGGTGGGGACCCGCCTCCAGCGGCAGGACGGAGGGATCATAACCTCTCTAGATCAGCTTCACGAAAAAGTCAACGAGATGGGCAACGTGTTCAACTCGCTGGAGAACAAGGTAGACATCCATTTCTGATGGCTGGGTGGGCTGTGGGCTGTCACTAAGAAAGCTAAAGAGAGAGCAGAAGAGAGATGCTAAGCCCATGTCTTCAGAGTGCTGTCAATCACAGCAGATGACTAGTCAGAAAATCAGGCAGTAGCAGTGAGGGTGTTAAGAGCCTGAAGCATCTTAAAACTTTCTTAAGTTAAAAAAAAAACAGGAAGAAAT